GCTCATATGGTCTTATGCAGTTGCGAGCGCCGTAAAACCTCTACTAAAACAAAACTAAGCTTTTGCCTGTTGTCCATTCTCCAGCCACATTCATGATGACCCTGGCCAACATGGAGGGCGAGGAGTCGTTTGAGCCGTCGTACCTGGGCCAGGCAGAGGAAGTTGTCCAGGAGAGGATCTGTGACGACGAGCTCATCCTCATCAAGGGGTCAGTCGCTGTGCCGTTACTTTGTACGAGTTGTGGGTCTTTTTATCATGCTGGTATGATTGGGTAGTTTTGTAAAGTTTCACATGGTTTTGGGGGGAGGGAGGGGGTGGTGCTGGTGAAGATTTTACAATTTATGAAAATGATTCACCACTCTAAAGGTGAAGGCTAAGTGATTTCTGATTATGTTTGTAGACATAGTAAGAGTTCTTCTGTATCCATGTTTAGTTTGTAACGCTGGTCCGTACCAGTGACGGGGAACTGTAATTAGTGTTAAAACTTAAAATGTTGGGTGTTTTTTTAAAAAATATGGTGCTCTTTTTTTCCCCTACTTTGAATATGTAAATACAGTTTGATGTCTCACGATGCAGTGCACAATTCTTCAACTCTCTTGCTTCATGAGATCTGGACGGTCATTATGGCTCCCTTTGCTGCAGTGCTTGTCAGTTTCTTGCTTTTCCCAGCCCAGAATGACCGTTATCATGCAAGATGTTGTCACTTTTCCTGACTTGAACTCAAACTAAATTCCTTATGTTGGTCTTTTTAGGTGGGTGGTTGGCGGATGCTCTGGTGTGGTTTCCTTCTTCTTTCCTACCAAAAAACTATCGTCTGTATCTTCCTGTTTTCTTTTTTTGTGCTTGTTACTCTCTTCTATCACCTCTAGTCTTCGGCACTTCTATGACTTTATTGTGTTGCAAATGCCGGAAAACTCTTACTAAAACTAAAAAGTCTTTTTAGTCGACCTGTAACCTGAGTTTGTTTGTATTCTTAGCCCCAAGTCAAGGACTGCAGCTTCCATCATCCTGCGCGGTGCCAATGACTTCATGGTGGACGAGATGGAGCGGTCAGTGCACGACGCCCTCTGTGTGGTCAAGCGGGTTCTGGAGTCCAAGTCTGTCGTAGCTGGCGGTGGGGCCGTGGAGGCGGCTCTGTCCATTTACCTGGAGAACTTTGCCACATCCCTGGTGAGTGTTGAATATAGATATCGGCTGTTTAGTTTCATACTTCATTGTCCATCATTATGAAAAATGGTGTATGACAGTCTTACACTGCGCAGTCAATATTTATTGTCACGATTATAGTGTAGATATATCAACTCTCTCTCTTGCCCTTTTTAACTCCCAGTGGAGCATAAGCCATCAACAACATTTCTTCAGCGAAGCCTGTCTTATGCATCCTTTTCTAGCTGTTTCCATGATATCCCCGCCTTTTCCATTTCCGCTTGTACCGCTCGTCTCCATGTCATCTTTGATCTTCTTTTCTTAAGTTTTCCTTGTGGATTCCGGGTCAAAGCCGGATATATCAACTGCTTAGTGTAATACACCACCATTCCCCATTTTGTAAAATGGCGTATGGCGGGGTCGTACACTGAGCAGTCAATTTCTATTGTCATGGTCATATAGCAATGGCGGAAGTGTTGCATTTTTGTCATCAGAATGGGTTCGGAGATTGACAGGAAGGGACATGGCATGCACTTGCTGGAGCCCTTGAAGTAATGCCAGTTCCATGTTCTCAGATTTGGCAAAGCTTGCTTGTTTTCAGCCGGGGTAACCACTGGTGCTTGTGTTCTTGATTTTTTAATCTATTTATTTTTTAGAAATGTGGAAAGCATTTATTTGGGGGTAGCAAATCTCTTGTAAATTGGTACGTCTTGGTGAAGGAGTTTTCATCAACATAAGCAAAATCTGACACTTGGTTCCTATTGTTTGACAAATTGTTTGATCCTTTCTACCATTATGAAAAGTGCCGGGTATCGATAGAAGGGTGGATAGTGCGTTGGCCTCATTCAGTGTGGAAGCATGAGAAAGGAAGAGAGTGTTGCTGATGGGCCTAAGACTATAAAATGAAATTACTTTTACGTGAGAACACGATCGTGATGATATGACCTACACAGGTCGGAGAATGCCACCCACCGCCTTGTGTTAACTGTGTAATCACTTCTTGGTCCATACCCTCTCATTCAATCAACCTCTCACACACACATGCATACACACACACACACACACACCCATGCACTGTACAACCCAGTGCTGCACCACGCTGTCTTTGATCACACCCCAGCACTCAGTACCCACATTCACTTGACTAGATGTTCTTTATTGCCATCAAACATCTATTGTCCTTTAAACAATCCCTCTTCCTTCTTTACCTTGTAAGTTACTTTCTAAAGTGACACTTTTTATCTTTGGCACCTATCTGGCCTGTTTATGTTGCAAGTATTGTAAAAGTAAAAACCCTCACCAAAACGATATACTGAAAAGGGAAAAATTGTAGTCTTTCTGCGATTTCACTCCATTTCCTTGTGCCTTCCACCCCAACAGGCGAGCCGTGAACAACTGGCCATTGCCGAGTTTGCCCAGTCCCTGCTGGTCATCCCCAAGCAGCTGTCAGTCAACGCGGCCCAGGACTCCACAGATCTGGTGGCCAAGCTGAGGGCCTTCCACAACACCTCGCAGACGCGGGCCGAGCATAATGATCTCAGATGGTACGTTTTTATTTTCCTTGCCTACCGTTGTCAAAGCTCATGTCCAAGCCATGTGGCTCATCACCAAGAAATTCTTTGGTTTCATGTAGTTCATGTCTTCAGGGTTTTAGTCTAGGCCTATATCTGTGGGTGGTTGACGGGTGCTCTGGTGTGGTTTGCTTCTTCTTTCCTATCAAACATTTATCGTCCTTATCTCTCCTACTTTTTTATGTTTGTTGCTCTCTTGTAACACCTCAAATCTTCGGCACTTATATATGACCTAATTGTGTTGCAAGTGCCGTAAAACACTTACGCGGGTGGTTGGCGGGTGCTCTGGTGTGGTTTGCTCCTTCTTTCTTATCTAATGTCTATCATCCTTATCTTCCCTTCTTCTTTTTTATGTTTGTTACTCTCTTATAACACCTCTAAGCTTCTGGCGCTCATATGACCTTATGCAGTTGCGAGTAACGTAAAACCTCTACTAAAACCAAAAAAAACACTTACTAAAGCTAAACTAGGCCTATATCTTTTGCATATATATGCATTGATGGCAGCTGGTTTGATCAAAGGCATTCACTTTTTCTTGCACTACACTGCATGACCGTTGGTGTGAAGATGTGCTTCTCTTTCCTTCTAACAAATTTTTATTGAGTATTTCAGTCTTTCTAGTGGGTGTCTCGGCCTTGAAAGCCCACTTCCTAAATGATCTAAATTGTGTCATTGTGTGGTGTAAAATAATTTTTAAATGCCTCCTTTTTTAATTTCCTCTAACTTTTAATTGTAGACACCTATTTGATCTTTTTGTGTTGCAAGTGACTTAAAACTCTTGCCAAAACCAAACGTTTCTCTCAATTTGTTCCCGTGCAGGGTGGGTCTTGATCTGTACGAGGGCGTCGTGCGCGACAACAAAAAGTCTGGCGTGCTGGAGCCTGCCATGTCCAAGGTCAAATCTCTCAAGTTTGCCACGGAGGCAGCCATCACCATCCTGCGCATCGACGACATGATCAAGCTGCAGGCGGAGAAGCCACCTGGTCAGTCGTACCAGGATGCCTACAGATCCGGGGCCCTGGATGGTTGACCTAAGCGTGATACCTAGACTCTGGGGTTGGGAAGGGTTTGGGATGGGGGCGGCATTATTTGGAGGCACAATGATCAGATGACAGAAGGCGCTCTGTGTGAGTGACGTTCACACAAAGGTCTGTGTGTAGAGAGCTTGCTTTTACAAGATGTGTTCGTATAGTGTCAATAGCTTTTTAATGTTCATTTGCCAACTGTGTATAATTTCCTTTGAAATGGTTAAAGTAAACATGCCATTCAAAACTGACACACATAAATTTGATCCACCAAGGAGTTCCCCCCAATAATGATGAAATATTCACTGCACGCTGCTATTTATTAATTTCTGTTTGGCCCACTGTTTATCTTGTAATCTAAGAATTTCTAAGTCTACTTAAATTGAAGTTGGACTGTAACCTCAGGATTATAACAAGGTGTTCAACAAAACTGCTCATTAAGAAAGTTAGTTGATTGATTTGTTATCTCATAAGGAAATTGTTTTAGCCTCAGATCTTATCGTTTGTATGCAATGGCTGTTAGTTTTTTGTGTTGTTTTTTTTTATAATGTTAGAAGAAGATAAGAATTCTGTCTGTAAATTATCATTTTCTGATATAAGGAAAGTGTGATACAAAATGTGTGAGTGCTGTTCGTTTGTTTGATTGCTAAGGAGTTCGAGCCTCTGCTGTTTTTTGTGAGCTTTGCATGAACAAGGTTCTGAACTGTCATTTGAGTTCATTTCACTCATCCACATTAGATGTGCTTTTTTACTCTACTTTGTTGTTGGTCTTATTTTGTCAAATGTTGTTTTGTTTTGTGGTGCTTTTCACACGAAGTGGGTGGTTGGTGGGTGCTCTTATGTGGTTTGCTTCTTTCCTATCAAACATCTATCGTCTTTATCTACCCTCCTTCTTTTTTGTGCTTGTTACTTTCTTGTAACACCTCTAATCTTCGGCACTTATATGACCTTATTATGTTGCAAGTGCCGTAAAACACTAAAAATAAAACTTTCCTTAGAAAGTTTGGGTCACCTGTTTGGTGTATAATGATTAACGGCTGATGTTGGTTTTAAGATGATGAGGTGCATCCTCTAATTGTAAGAATAAGTAAGCCTACAGGAGACTACAGCACAGGTCAAGTTTGGTGTATTCATGAATGTGACCCCCTCCTTTTACAACGATTACTGGAGAATTGCTGCGAACAATGTGCATGGGTGGTTGGTGGGTGCCCTGTTGTTTGCTCCTTTTCTCCTATCAATCATCTGTCATCTTTATTTCTCCTTCTTTTTTGTGTATTACTCTGTTGTAACACCCCTAATCTTTGGCACTTGCACAGTCGACCACTGGATTGATAACAATATACAGGCGACTGTGGATGAATGGGGGAGGGGGGGGGGAGAGGGGTGGCAAAGAAGGTTAGCTCATCCAAATTTCAACTTGTAGTAGTAATTGTAAAAAGATGCTGGGACCTGAGAAAAAGATCAACACAACTAGAGTCGACTGTATGACCTTCTTGGTACTTCTACTTATAGTATAGTGTTGCAAGTTTCAACACTCTTACTCAAACTAAAAAAAAAGAAACGGCACATCCAGTTGGTTTAATATTGATAGCACCATAAAACCTCAACTTTAACAAACCAAACCTTCTCTGAGGCAGATGAGAGTGGTCTGTCCTGACTAATGTTGAGTGGTCTCTGGTCCGAAACTTGTAAGGTGTTGAGCACACAAAACCTTCCAGTGTGTCACACTTTCACTTGCAGCCTCAACCTGCAAAATGCAAACTACTAAAACCTCAATAGGTGTACTCATTAAGCTCGGCCCGCGTCTGTGAGGTGTTGTGGAAGGCTCTCAGTTTGGCCACCCATATAATTTGGCACCTATGTAGTATATGTAATATCATAAATGTATTGAGGGAATATACTGACATAGTGGTGTCGTAATTAGGCACTTTACCGTCCAACGCAGATGATACCTTGGGTCTCTCGTGGCCTAGAGACTAGAGGTTAAGGTGTTCGCCTCTCATTCAAAGGTCCTGGCTTCGAATCCGGGTAGTGACCGAAAAATTTGTTCTCTAAAATTGTCTCCTCTCGCCTCTTTTCCTGCTCTGTAGCAATGTTCTGTCGTCTACTTTCGTCTCCTCTTTCTGCCCCCACCCCCTCACCTCCTTTGCCCCCTCCTCTGGGCTCCTGACTCTTTCTGCAGCCTTTGTACTGCTACTCCTTGGCTCCTTCTTACTGCTATCTTTCAGCCACACCCCGGATCTTCCTGTAGGAAAGATCTACACCTAGCCTTCTCGGACAAGGGCGAAAAATCTCGGAGGGCCCGTGTGCAAGTTTCCCACGAAAAATTCTAAAATCGAGAAGAAGAGTAGGCTTCAGCCGCCATCGGGGCAAAATTCAAAATTTCCCACCAACTGAAAAAGTTCTCTCTCCCTCTCTCTGTGTCCCGCGCGCTCATATGACCACATGCAGTTGCGAGCGCCCTAAAACACGTACCATAACTGCCATAACAACAATTTTTAAAAATCCCTAGGTGACTGGGAGGTGTTCTGGTGTGGTTTGTTGCCTCTTTCTGATCAAACATCAAGGCCCTATTCAGTACGGTACATTGCTATTCTCACTGATAAAAAACTTTGCAGTATTCTTTCTGGAATCCTCTCGGAGAAACTAGATCTATGTGATAAGAAAATGTATTGGTGACTACTAATCTGTTTTACCTGTTTAAAATTGATCGCTTTTAAGCACAATGGGGTTATCCCGAAAAATGTTGTTTTGAGAATATCGAAGGTAAAGTTTTTGGATCCTTATTCAGTTTCTTTTTAAGGTCAATTTTAAGTGACTATATCTCGAGCATCCTTGAACATAAGTGAAATATTAATGTGTCAGATGATGCAGGATTTATTTAGCTTTACATTTAAATTGGTGTGCTGCATGAGTCGGTAGTGCACGGCTTTTTAACACTCGGTCTAAGTGTGGGTGGCTTTAAGCACTCATGGTTTTGTGGGTCTTTTTTTTTAAAAGACGTAGACGGACATGTTGCAACTGTGAACACAGACCGATATATCGAGGTGCTGAAGAAATTCAGGACGAATCTGAGGAGACACCGGTACTTGGATCGCCACGACCAGTGGTTCATGCAAGACGGGGCCAATCCACACGTTTCTGCCAGATCAATGACATGGCTAGCTGGCCACTTTGGAGATCATGCCATCAGTCGCAGAAGGGAACACATTTGGGCTCCGCATTCTCCTGACCTGAATTTTTTAGACTTACTTGTGGGGCTACCTGATTGTTTTGTTTGTTTTTGTAAAGTGTTTTACGGCGCTCGCAACTGCATAAGGTCATGTGAGCGCGCGGGACACACCTAATATTTTCAGTTGGTAGGAAATTTTGATTGCCCGGGTGGCGGCCGAAGCCTACTCTTATCGATTTTAGACCACCAAGGGATCTTTAACGTGCGCAACTTGCACTCGGGCCCTCCGAGATTTTTCGCCCTTGTCCGAGAAGGCTAGGTGTAGATCTTTCTTACCAGAAGATCAGGGGTGTGACAGAAAGACAGCAGTAAGGAGGAGCCAAGGAGTAGCAGTAGAAAGGCTGCAGAAAGAGTCAGGAGCCCAGAGGAGGGGGCAGAGGAGGTGAGGGGTGGGGGCGGAAAGTGGAAGAGAAAGCAGACAATAGAACATTGTTAGAGAGCAGGAAAGGATGTGAAAGGAGACAATTTTAGAGAAGAAAATTGTTTGGTCGCTACCCGGAATCGAACCCGGGACCTTTGAATGAGAGGCCAACACCTTAACCTCGGGGCCACGAGAGCCCCCGGGCTACCTGAAGTACAGGATATTTCAAAACCGATTGAAAACATTGAAACTATGAAGCAAGCAATCCGTGATGAAGTGAGAAACATTCCGCGGGAACTGTGTTTGGCCGTCATCAAGCATTTCAAACGACGAATTAAACATTGTTTGGAGTCCAAAGGAGGACATGTGGAGCATTTGTTTTAGAAATTCCAGAACAAAAATGTTAGTTCTTTAACTCCGTGTAAGAGAAGTTAAATATTGTTTAATGTCACAAGGTTGGAACAATTAAATGTTATAGAGAAAAACAAGACAAAAATAAAATCAATCGTCTCTCGAGTTTCCTTGCGAGAGTGTCTTAAAAAAAATAAATTATTGGCACATTTGGCGTTTATGGGTGTTTTTTTCTTAATGCGGTTCCCGTTCTGAAAATACGTTTCTTCTGTATGAATTTTATTTCAAACAAATTCCTTTTGATTGACGTTTATCTGGTCCAAATTTCATCTTTCTACAACATTTGCGCGATATATACTAAGGTGCAAAAGAAACGCGAATTTTTATTACCACGCAATGATTGACAAAATGCAACACATAGGTTTCAAGTTTTTTGTTGTGTTTATTAGCTGAAACTTTGCACACTTCTTGAGTGACATACCTGGCATGAACTGACTGAGGGTCCAGCACATTCATCTGAGCTCACGTTGACCTTGACCTTGGTGAGCAAACTTAGTAACGCGTATGGCCTCCACGTGCACCGATTATAGCGAGGCATCTTCTGGTCATAGACGCTCGAGGCAAGTGTTGAGTGATATGAGTTCACATCACACAACTATGAACTCAGCATTGGGCGATTACAAGAACATAAAAAATTCGCGTTTTTTTGCACCTCACTATATTTATTAAAAAACGTAATTTTTGGGGGGATCACTCTGCAGTCTTCTCTCTCTCTCTCTCTCTCTCTCTCTCTCTCTCT